CGCAACAAATGACAGATAATATAATTTTAATTACTTTGAGTTTTCTGGCGTTGAAATCTCTCTCTAAGTAGTGTATGTAATATACATAAACAAAGTCCACCAGAATAAAGAGGCAAATTTTATTTTATCGGAATGAAATTGTCGTTTTTTTAATTTAAATAAAATTGTGCTTATACAAATTATGCTTAAGTTGTAACAATAAAATTTTGCGATCCGTTTTAAAAACCTATTTTCACATCAAAGCCGGCTGTTTGATGACTAATGCACGTAATCGTGTTCAGCGGGCCGATTGTGATATATCGGCTCCGGGCTGCAAACACATAATCCGTCAGGTTACACTATGGGCAAAATTTGTTACTTTTATAGTAATAACCGCATTAAAAGTGTATTGTACATCTGGAACAGATTTGTCGAACTCCGGAGTATCTCTATTGAGTCTGAGCGGACCCACAACAATATCCCATAGATATTTATATTTAATTTGATTCTTGTATGTTTGTATGTGTATGTATACTATGTTTAATGAGGGTTCATCCGCCTGTTAAGGCACAATAAGTAGGATTTAAAGGATTAAATTTAAAAACACAAAGAGATGATAATTTACCTCTGTGCAATTTCTAGGAAGTTTTACCCAACTACGTTTCCCAATATAATTTTAGTAGTAAGAAACTAGATTATGGGTGAACATTTCGAAGTCATAAATAAGATTGTTAACTGATATTTTTTGTGTTTTAAATCTGCATAACTATTGAGGACGAATTTCAAGTCTGAACACGCAGGTTGAAGAATCTAATAAATCCGAGGGCTTTTGAAGATTTACAAAGTGCATTATCGTCTGATTCGGGTTTCCTACGTTTCGTTTTATTCCGTAAGAGAAAATTGAGTACGCCATGTGTTTTACGTGTGAATGTCCGTTACGATTTGTAACAAAATTACCGGGACCGCAATTGTAGTCAACTATTTTACATGACGCTTAAGGTAACGGTTATCATTAAACATGAACAAAGGCGCGTGCTGATATGATTTTGTTGTTTGATGTATGTTTCCTTCTATTAATCAGCACGTGCGTGCACAGTTTTTCATGAATTTTATGAAATAAGTACGTTTTGTGACATTTTGAGTGATTATTAAAATACAATTATGATATTAAATAATGCAAACTTGTAATATATTTCAAAACCAGTTTGATCAATATATGTATAACATTTTGATTATCTTCAGAGAAAATAAATAATGATGTAAGCATCAAAGAATATCTTGCTCACGGAAACAAAGACCAGAGTAAATGCCAGTATTTGGAAAAAGAACTAAGGTAAATCTAATGTCTTAGTTACATGTCTGACCTGCCGAACTAGTAACTGGTGTAAGTTCTTGTAACGCTATTGAGTACAGTGAAGGTCTATCTAAAACACGCGGTTTCATGCATATTTTATTTAAACATTGACATATTTATCAGTTGATATATTTGGGTAAATTTCATGCTGGTAATACAAAGCTAAATCAATATTCGATTGAAATGTGTCAACGAATACATTTTCAATATAAAAACTACCTCATGTTTGACCATACGACGCGACACTCAAAACATGTAATCGGGAAATAGAAGATCAATCTTTGAGCCATTCTAACGTAACGATGCTACTCGAAATTTTAAAGAAAATGTCAGATAGATGGTCAGTGACGTCCACTTTATGCCGATGCAAAGTTTTAATATCATATCTTGACAAGTGGTTGAAAAATTTCAAATTCCTATGAACAGTTCCCAAAATTAAAACGGTAAGAAATTACGATATTCAATTTCACGAAGCAACGCGCTGGTATTTAGGTTACATAAAGTGACGATACCCCAGGCAACGACATTGAAGATGCTTACGGATGCATATATAAATTCCAATGTGAGCAGAACGGTGGTATTCAAGTGGCACAAGGTTAAAAGATAGGTCGATAAACGCCGGAAGATGAATTTCGAAAATAATTAACTCAAATTGATATGCACCAATGGAGTTTTGCGTTTTCTCGACTCTTTAAGTCCGAACACCGCACGCATAGCTTTAACAACCAGACATACTTGCGCTTGACAACTCGATAAATCTAAGCAAAGAAAATATCTGAGTGGTATAAGTCATTTTCTACACATGGTTTTGCCAACATAGAAAGCGTATCAAGAATACCGGAGCGTGCTTCAAGAAAAGTTGAATAACATTATTGACATCATTTTAATATGTAATCTAAGCGCGCCATTTGTTGTATGACCATCGAATTTGTTGCTGAATAATTGCTTTAACTACGTGTTTCAAACGAAAAAAATACAGTTGTCCATGTTATATTTCATTGCCCCTCGTATATCTATGCAATTCTTATGTTAAAGTATTGTATATTCAGAGATATATGCAACCCTTCAACGTACGGCTGCGGTCATACAAAAACTAAAGCCAGAAAAAGAGATACTCCACAATCATCACAAGTAGATAGAAAAAGACGCACGGTACTCAATGGCGGGAGGATTACAAATCCAGACAGTTCAATAAAGTTGGACCACAAGAAAAGAAGCTACTATAGTAATGTACATTTAGAGTATTTGTGCGACCCTCGATTTGACTGTTCATCTGCCAGTACAGACTTGTATCGTAGATACGATGGAAGCTGTAACAACTTGTATCAATATGGTTGGGAGTGGGGAAGTGCAGATAGGATGCAGTCAGGATATTTGTGGGCTGATTATGACGATTGTAAGTTATATTTTAAATTCAAATACGGCGTCAAATTTGAAATCTGTGTTTGGGCAGGAAATCAATAGTAAAATCGGCCACTGATTTTTTTTCTTCTAATATATTTTTTAAATTTCATGATTTTCTTGTGGAACAAAGAGTTGAGCCCGCTCATTCAAGTAATAAACCCATACATAGAGTCGGAGAGTGAAGATCAATGTTTTTTTTCGTAAAGTGAGATATCTTGAACGCCTGACTTTTCACTTAACCCACAAAAACGCGTAGGTTATTCACTATATAAGCAGGCTCTACACTTAATGCTATCAAAAAGAGAAAAACAATCGCTACAGAAAGCCCAACACTGCAAAATTGACAATGTTGCAGGCTCGGTAACCCATTAAACTATGAAATATTAAAGGTTATGAAAGAAAAGGTTACCTGGACCCAATTTTACATTGGTTTTCTTCCCTACACAAATTACAAAGTCTTTAACTAAAAAGATTAATTTAAGTATTTATTTCGAAATTACAGGCTGTTTCATATGTATATTACAGATGGCCCTGCTATATGCCAGCAGATCTTAATTTTAAATACAATATATCGTATGTGTCATGAATAGATCATTTGTCTGTTTTATGACTTGCATACAGATTACGGAAAGCCAAGGACAAAAGGTGGCTACTTGCCAAATCCAAGATTGATCAGTAAGATAGTACATACTGCAACCGTACCACAAGAAGACGATCCTGAACGATCTCTGTTTTGTATGCAATTTGGACAACTGCTAGCACACGACATGGTGCTCACTGAGCAATTTATAAGTAAGCTTTTGACATTATTGTGTGGCATTATTAATTTGCAAGATGCAGCTTGGTGTTGTCATTGTTTATTTATGAAAACAGCACGTTACATATATTTTCTTTTGCTGTGAACTCTTTAGATATTGCAAATACTATCTCAAATAAATTGAGTTATCTGCAATTTTGAATTACAAAAATATCTATGCGATATAAAACGTTCTTTTCTTATACCGACATAAATAAACTTACTCTTAATTTATAAATATTGTGTGTGTTTTTCGGCAAACAAACTTTTACAGTTACAGCTTCGAAAATGTGCGCAACAGGTTAACCTTTCCATTGTAAACTTAAGAGTATAATACAGCTATTACGGGAAAAACTTGTTTGTACTAAGGGATTGGCTTAAACAACTGCATTTTCTGCCGTATTCCGGATAACAACTACTGAAAACATTGCTTCTTTCATTCACTTTTGTTTGCAAGGCTTAAAAGATGAAATTCAATGTATTTATTCGAAAACATAAATACTAGTATGTAGAAATATAACATAATTATATTGATATTTGAAGCTGGTATTAAGGTATTGTGCACCAAGAATAAATATATGCATTTAATAGTCAAAGAAAGTATTCATGTTTTGGCAAGTACACAAAACTATGTCAAGCATTGTTTACGTTTTAGACCCGGATGGAACATCACTAGATTGCTGCGGAGCTGATATGTCACAGTAAACATTTAATTGTTATATTTCATTAATGAGTTACCATATTTGATTTCGAGTACATATAAACGATAAAAAAAGAAAAAAACGGGCAAAAACTTTCATGTACCTTTTTAAAACTAGTTTTTAGAAAACAAATTGTTCTCATCTGTGTTGATTTAAGCTCAATTGACATTCAATTGTAAATAATGAGTGTACTGGTTCATGTAATGGTCAATATGACTTACGTTTACATAATGTCATGATTACATGAATGTCTATTGTATAGTGTTTCATAACAAAAGTCCGATTTTCTTTTCTTTTTTGCATTAATAGGACTAGTTTTTGTATAATTTTATAATTTTTTTCTTTCATTTTCGGAACTTGATACCACATGTTTTACATTAAGGGTGTGGTAATATGTATTTTCTCTACCTTGTTGTACAATGTTAAAAACTATGGAATATGCTACTACTATTTTGTATTTCATAACTTGTGACACAATCAGATGTACATGTATCTCTCTGTTATTATATAGTGTATTTGGGCCAATGGCCTAGAATTACATTACATTAAACTTGAAACTTGATTGTGTTTAAATTTTGTATTATACTTTTCAAAAAATACCAATAACCTACGTGACCTTAACGGAAATTTCTATGGGTTTATTTATACAAAATTATATAACTAATATAAAACATTGAGCATAAATGGGTTATATTTAAACTATATCATATAACATATATAAAATAATGAGCACAATTGGTTATATTTAAACTAAATTCTACTATAAATGAAACTGTACAAAATTTGCAGTGCTGAGTGCTTCCCCATAATTGTTCAACAGAATGATGGTCATTTCCCAGCCGGAGAATGCTTTAACTTTGTACGATCAAGAGCTAGATTAAATTGTGTAAATGGTACGTAATACATTGTCCTTTTTGTTGATCATTTTTCTCTGATTATGTCTTATAAGTTACTCGATCATCTGTATCAGAGTAGAAACACATCGATTTATTTTATTTTGGATAAATTAAGTCACGGAAATCTGCATTGTCTTATTTAATTATATTTATCTCAACAATCAGCAAACAGACCAATATTGTTCAGTATACGTAAAACGTGAAACTCGTACATGAAAAATATAAAACGCTTGTAAAATTGTAGACAAACGAAACTGCTGTAATTTGTATGTAGTTATGATTTATATTTCTATTGATTTTTTCAATAGTTGTTGTTGTTATTGTTGTTGTTGAATTGCACTTGTTTGTTAAGATGTTTTTGATAAATTGGTGTAACGCCGAACAAAAAGCGTCAGTAGATTACACCAGCTGTTTAACGCTGCCAGTGGTTTTCGTGCTATGAAACAGTTTTGATCTAATGTGTGTTCGTGTATACATGCTTTGTTTACACGAGGAACACATGACAGCGAAGGTCATATTTTTATAAAACAGAGTTTAGAGGGCCTATATGTCTTGTCACAATTGATTAACTACTCTAATTTTGATAATTACACTAAAAATGGTAGTACCCATGATAATGTTGATATGTCCTGATGTAATACAAAACGGTCATCAAGATATTAAAATGAGAAAATCAGTTTGTCTGTTTGTTTTTTCTTGTTTGTTTTGGCGATAGGCTGTATACAATATATACTCTGTTTCTTTGAATGATTAGCTATACGGGAACAGGTGAACGAGCAGACGTCATTTTTAGATTTATCAATGGTGTATGGTGTAAGCGATGCAGAGGCTACAAGTCTACGGACATTGTCTGGAGGTTAGAGAACATGATTATTTGTTTCAAACTCTTAATTTTTACATGTATATTTACAAACAAATGTATATTTAGCAAAACAAAAAAAAAATGTTGTTTTTTTAAATTATAGCAATAAAAGTCTCATTCATTATTAGCTACGCTACATGCAATTTTATTTCTGAGAAAAGATTCAAATATTTGCCTAGGATTCAGGCGTTGATTTGCCGAACAGAGAAACACATAAAAAATCGATAGACTGGAATTGTCCAGCGATATCAATTTGAAAGTCATCTATCTTCAAACATGAACCTCACTTGAGCTTCAGACAATGATAAATTTTGCTTAACATACGCGCTATTTCATACTTAACACCAACGACCAATGTTAATCCTATTAATAGACCAACAAATCACATGACTAAATCAAAATCGAGGCGAAGAAGCTGAATGTTGAAAATTTGACGCCATTTTCCATTTTACATTGCGTCCAGCACGTTTCTCTGATGCTCTCAGACTTTATCCACACTGAATATGTCTTTAACTAATCAAACATGTAGACCAAATGCACTTGTTATGCAATTAACTATGTCAACGAGTGTCAAAACTCTCAATTTTAATCGGAAATGGTGTTTTGAAAGCGAGGCTCCGTGACTGTTGTTGAGTTTCATGTGCAAACAAACCTTTACGTTATAGCTTCACGGTGCACTATCAGTCAAATTGTTTTTTTCAAACTGTTGCAATAACTTTCGAAGCTCTGACTGTAAAATTTTGTTTGTACCCCCAGATTACCTGGGGAAAAAGCCCGAAATATTCCTTATTCCGGACTAAGTCTATTAAAATGTTTTTGGATTTTCCCAACTTACACAGAGATACAAGCAAACTTTATAACCGTTGAGCTTCTATTGTGACCGGCTGTGCACCGGCTGTGCAGCAATGCTATTGTATAAGCTTCCTTTAATAACTACAGGGCTACTTAAAACAGTTCTTAACAAGTTACCAAAGGGTCCAGACGAACAATGTGAGCTTTCAAGACCATCCGATGCACAATCCTATTATTGCACGGAAGCAGGTAATATAATTATTTATTTCGAACGTTATTACTAACATAAATTTAAAGTGAAATGCCACAATTTTGTCCCAATATGTCCAATACTATAAGAAATATTTGTACTCATAAACAGTGAAAATTCTCCAAGAATGATATGTTTTTGTCAATCTCAGAAATATAATGAAGTTATGCACTACTTTCTTCTGTTGAATGACAGTTTACAAAATGATAGATTGTCTTTATATATAATACTTTGCATTGTTAACTATGTAACTCATTAATAAATTGTTTTTTTTTTAAATAATAACAAGGCGATCCACGATCCGATGAGCAGCCCGGTTTAGCATCTATTCATACTATCTGGGCAAGGGAACATAATCGCTTGGCAGCTCAACTTGCTACAAATCATCCATCTTGGACCGATGAAAAAGTATTCCAAGAGGCAAGGAAAATCAACATTGCGGAATGGCAACACATTGTATACAATGAGTATCTCCCAGTAACGATAGGAATGGCAACAATGCAGGCTTACAATATCCACATCGATGTTAGTATATCTTATCCTACAGATTAACAATTTTAATTTATGAGAAACTGTCGTCTGCTAGAATGTCGTCTGCTAAGATCTCGTCTGCTTTTATCTGTAGTTTTTTTCCTGACACTCTATAGGAAATGGTGTTTGAATGGCGGGCAAAATTAAGATATCCGCTTTATTCTATTCATAGCAGTTATGTATGCACAAAGTAGGTTATTTTCATGAATGAGTCATTGCTTTGCCGGTTGGTGAGGTAACAGCTGCGTTTAAAATTGCTTAAGATATGTAAAAGATTGAACAATTTCAATGGCAAATAATTCAAATACAAGACAAATTGTTCTAATTGTTTGAGATTTAAATAAGTTTATGTTATCATGGTTTAAGGTCATGCAAAGTTAAAAAAATTTAAGTGAGTCAGTTTTGCATTATGTTTATTAGTTTACAAACAAATTGACATCATGTCAAATTCATGAAAAAAACTTCAAAAACAATTTTTATAGGCGACCGGACATAAGGACACTTACGATATCAGTACTGATCCAACAATCAGAAATGCATTTGGAGCAGCTATATTTCGATTCGGACATACCCTGGTTTCGGACAAAATCGCTCTAGCTAATTTAGGTGATGAAACTATATTAAACGAGCAAGACCTAAAGTTCAACTTTTTCGAGCCTGAATTATATCACTCAAACGCCAACGATGCAACTGACAATATCCTGAAATGGACGGCTGCAACACCTTGCTTACTATCAGATAGGTTTGAAACATAATATTCATTTTTTTTTTCAGTACTAGGATTCAATCTTTCACCCGAAGTTTCATGGAATTTCTTATTTTGAAAAATAAAAAGAAGTATTTATGAAACTTGTTTATCCACATACACTGATCATTTGATATTGATAAGAAGCCTAGTTTATTATTGCAGATACGAAAAATGTATAGATTGATGCTGTAGACATTTCAAAAATATGACTTGCTGTTAATGCCATGTCTAAATTGTACGACAAGCAATGAAGGTGTAAAGCCTCCAATGATTATTGAAATCTGACCAAGAGTAATGTTTTACAAGATAACATATCTTACTAAAAACAATGACATATTGTACTGTATAATGTGGTAAAAGTATTTATTACTATACTGTCCTGTCGTAATGGCATGTCAAACATTTCCTGTTCGTTTTTTACATATTCATTTAAACTTAGATGTGAAACAATAGCTTCCAGATTAATCTCTCTTTAAACTATAAAATGACTGATATCATTTGTAGAGATATAAGTCTTGACTCCAGAAAGACTCGAACAAACGATCCCTGGGTTGAGATGCAGACAAATTAACCATAAGTCACTGCTTCCCACGTCAAAATCATTTTTCTTAAACAGAGTCCTTCTTTCTTAGCGACACCCGGAAAGTAATCTTTGTTCAAAACGGATTACATAAGACTTACAGTGGGATAACTGTATATTATATACTAGCATTTCATACCCTTAACAATAGGCAACAAGTACATAGACGTTACTTTTGTTTGTTTGTTTCACTTTACGCCTTTTCCCAACAGTATTATAGTAATAAACACTCCAATTTGTTCAACTCATCTTTGTTTAATTGCCAGGAAACTACAAGCTTCAATACAAAAATTCTTATTTCTGGACGCCCTTAATAAGTCAGCTGATTTGGCAACTTTAAATATTCAAAGGTATGTTCATTGATATACTTGTAAAAGTACAAAGTTATATGAGATTACATAACACTTACTAATGGTTTATTACATTATTACATAAAAATTGTAGAACTTTAAATTTATATCAAGTTTTCATTACACTTTCTAATGTTTCATTACATTAGTACATAATACTTGCAGAACTTTAAATTTATTTCAAGTTTCAATCAATCTTGCTGAAATATCGTTTTCAATTCATTCAATCATTTTACTATAATAATTGCTAAAATAAAGTAGCCACAATCGTTTTACTATTACTAAAATTTTAGTGCAATCTTTTTACTATTACTAAATGTTGGTACAATCGTTTACTATTGCTGAAATGTTTGTGCAATCGTTTTATTATTGCTAAATGTTGGTACAATCATTTTACTATTGCTGAAGTTTTGTGCAATCGTTTTATTATTGCTAAAATTTCTGTACAATCGTTTTAATCCTGCTAATATAATGTGGCAGAATTGCCCAGAACTGCCAACACTTTCCAGTTAACTAGTGGATGATTATCCGTTTATATATAAACTTTTGTGTTTGTTTGATCAGATAATTATCTGTATTTGTTAGCTTAATATCAGACAATTTTCTGTATGTTTTTAGCTTAAGTATCAGAAAATTATCTATATAACTTGATAAATTTTCAGTAAATAGATAATGCGGAATGTTTTCAATTACAAAGTCTGTAGCAATTGCAATTTGTTTTATGTGTCTAGTTCAGGGACTCTGCTTTTCCGTTTTTACAGTCTTCTCTTTTCCTTTGTAAGCGTCATGATATAAACAAACTATATATCATTTATCAGTAAATTATTGTATAAAATTATTTCATGTTTGAAAACTAATACAGGGGACGTGATCATGGTGTACCTTCCTACAACGAATTCCGTGCATATTGTAATCTTCCTAGGGCTTTTAATTTCGGTGTTGGAGGAGGTGGTTTTGTGGACCACGACCAAGACGTTGTTACTCTTTTATCAAACGCATATATGTAATTATAGATTGGTTTACACTGTATGCTTCAAACAAAAGTTTAATTTTATTATTGTGTATATAGAAAACGAATGTTTTTAACGAAAAATAAATAAGTTAATTGTTTTACTTATTGCAGTGTAATTTTATATAAATTATTACTCAAAATAAAAAAGTTAAATCTAAATAATCTTAAAATGAATCGCTCTGAATTGCATTTGCAGAAATAGATGATGCTGAATTATTACCCATTTATTACGAATATTCATATCGATTCATATCGGCTTGTTGATTTCAAGCAACTTGCCCCTCATTGTTGTGGGTTCATATCCTGAAACGTTAATGAAGCTGCCCAGCTAGGTTACGGAACGTCGGTGGTTCTATTCAGATGCCCGTTTTTGCTTGAATAAAATACACGGAAGGGCACCTGGGGTCTTCATCCACCAGTAAAGTCGCCATATGATCTTTACTGTATTGGTGCAACGTAAATTACAACCAAAGATATATCGACCTGTGTATTACAAATACAAGGGGTATAGGGAATTTTGTAATTGGTGATATCTTAATAATATATATAAGATGTTTAATGCAGTAAGTAGGTTTATAAGAATGACCACACTAACAATTCAACCATGCATCTCCTTTAATGAATTTGTTTGTCCACCATTTGCAATTGTTACTCGTGCGGAAACAGTTATTATTGGTGAAAAAACATCAAGCTTCTGAAAGATGGACGGGTTTATACTATTCAAATATCCGAACATGCATAACTTAAAGGCTATTGTTAAAAGAATGGTTTAAATTCAAGGTATCCTGACGATGTTGACCTGTTTACTGGGTACATAAGTGAGAGACGTATCTCAGATAGTCAGCTTGGACCAACTGGACAATGTCTCTTTGCACTACAGTTCCTAGCTCTACGCAATGGCGACCGTTTCTTTTATGAGAGAAATGACCCACTGATAGCGTTTACACAGGGTATGTTTACTTAGAAAGAAACATTTTAGTGCTTACATATTGTGTTTGAAGAAAGAGGTAGTTCCAGAATATAAGAAATATCCGAATTTGATTTTTCTCTTTACTTTATTAATTCAATATAAAGAAACTATTATAAGAGAAAAGATTATGTTTTCAACAACTTCATCCAATATTTATTATAGAGCCCGTAGAAAAACATACAACCTATCGTAATAATTATGCAAGGCAAAAATAGCATCAATATCAATTTTTATCTGCTTATTTTCATACGAGAGGTGATCTGTAAAAAATGAAAACAGCTATATAATTTCACAACTACTGCATAATTACAGTTTTATATAAAATGATTGTTTTAACGTAGAATTATATCAGCTTCACATCATTCGGTTTTATGTCGTCAAAACTTACGTCACACTACGTGCCATCGTTCTTTTAAAAACGATAACAATGAGGGACAAGTATACATTCTTGTTTCACGCACAAGAAAGCCTAGTTTCTTATTAAGAAGGAAAGGGGAAAAAGTGCAAAGTATCACAGAAAAGTGTTATATTATTAGTGATTATAATTTGTTGCCACATTAACAAAGACATGTTTTTATCAGGTCAACTGATGGAAATCAAGGAAGTTCGAATGTCAACAGTATTCTGTTTAAACACAGCAGCCCATACAGGGAAACGAGTCCAGTTGAACATGTTCCGCCAAGAAGAGTGAGTATAGACATGTAATCGACCGGTTATACCCCGGTCACATATTCACGGAATACGCCCACGGAAGAGCCACGTATTAATTCGGCATCGTCCGTAGCTACCCGTACTGGTCTGTAGCTCTCCGTATTTTAACCGTAATCAATCGTAGTAGTCCTTGTATATCCGTAGCGATCCTTGACAATTTTTGAACATGTGCAAAAATTTGCTACGGAAAAATCAACCGTAGCGTATCCCTACTTGTCCGTATTAAACCGTACTGATACGTACTGGTCCGTACGGAAACCGTACTAGTCCGTACTGATTCGTAGGCCTCAACCTGCTACGGATTTCCACGGTTTGGTACGGAGAACTACGTTTTTGTACGGTTACCCTACGTATAAGCTACGGTTTTAATACGGATTAATACGGCATTGTCACGGAAAGCTACGATCGTAATACGTTGTACTACGGAGAGGCAGGGATTAGCACGGTCTTATACGGTTTATTGCGTTGCAACACGAAACGGTACGGAATGGTACGGTCCACCACTGTTTAGTACGGATAAACACGGATTTATATTACATACGTGGGATAAATTAATAGTATCATGTGCTTTTTCAAGGGTATAAATACTACCTTCTTGTTAAAATAGACATATTTGCGTGAACATTCAATAAATGATAATTGCCATTTACTGGCTGCAACTTTATATTGAAATAGCTCAGAATGCGGAGGCAGTGGTCGAGCTGCTTGATGACATGCATAGAGGTAAAAATATATTAATATCGTACTACAATTCATAAGTAATAGAATAGCATTTAATGTTACATATTTTACAAACATTAATTTGGATCGTGAAATTGGAGTAAATATGTACATAAAACGAAGTGTCTCATAAGCCTCGGACGCTGGCCCTTGAGTGATAATAAGATTAATTAACAAGCTTTTTACATATTTTTAAAACATAAACATTCACGATAACTAATGTTATTGTAAAATGAACAGCAAATTTCAAAATCAAAAGAGAAGCAGTATATTGATCAACATTTTTCTTTAATGATTACTAGTCCATATCTAATCAGGTAAGAGGAGATGATGGACTAGGGACGGGCTTTTACGAAGACCCCTTCATGTTAAGTATGAGGCTCTCATGGCCGAACCTGTTGAGGATTCGGCGTCCTTCACGAAATTCACTTTAATCGGACCTGATATGTCTCGGGGGTCAGACGCGATTAGGCCGAATCCTCTCCGCCAAAACCATTGAACTCTGCAATTCGTTTTCTAGGTGTTCTTTTCTTGTGAGGCATTTTGAAAATGAGCATGCAATATAATAGGTCCGTATAGGTCCGTGGCAATACGTTCTTCTCCGTATCAATTCGTTCTTCTCCGTATCAGACCCGTACTAATTCGTACTAACCCGTGCTTATACCGTAGCAGACCGTAGTGTATCCGTTGTGCATCCGTCCTGATTCGTGTCGCTCCGTACCAATCCGTGTCGGTCCGTAACAATCCGTGTCTCTCCCGGGGCTTTTGGTGGTAAATCCGTCGAACTCCGTACTCATACCGTTGTGTGTCCGTACTGAAACCGTAGCGGACTACGGAATTTCACATTTCCGTAGTAATCCGTGAACGATTAGACCGTAGCCTTTCCATGGCATTATCCGTGAATATGTGACCGGGGCATAACTATAGAACACATAAATAGAACGTATTTTAGCACGTGATGGCATTGTCGAAATCTTAAGTACACATTCCACGTGATATTACATTTAAAGCAGCACGCCTCCAGATTCATGTTAAATTTCATGAAACTTTTTATAATGTATTTGACAGTAAAATATTGTGAGGTGAACAAATAAAGTTATTTACATATTGCAATTGGCACATACAATCCATGCGAATAACCCAAAAGAGGTCAAAATGTGCAAAAAAAGCCCTTACTAAGTTAGTAACGCAGTAGAAATATGGTGATAAAAAACTGCAAAATCAGTCTTAAATCGCAAATAACATGTAAACTTTAACATTGATCTTGATTGTTTTTACCTTTCTTGAAATATTAGTACATTTTTCTCAATTTTCATTCTCTTGAAATATTTTGGCTCATCTGGAGGCGTGCAGCTTTAATCCGATATCGGTCAATTGTCTGGTTTACCTAGGATGCATAGTAATAAAAAAGGGATTGATTGGTCATGCAGTCAGGACTTTTTATTTCTTTAAACTATTAAAAAAAGAAGTTCATTTCACAAAGCAGCCAGGTATTGTTGACATATAAATATAGAATTTACATATGAGGTAAATTTTGTAAACTAGTAAGATGCATTAATTTATCATTTACATAGATGTATCATAAGAAGTTAAATCAGTTAAGTTTTTTGCCATTTCTGACAATAATTAAGACATTATCTTTAAGAATTCTTCGGCTTCTCAAAAGGGGGTCAAGTACTGTTGAAACGAATATGGAATAAATTAACGTATATGTATAATTTATGTAAAGAAGCTACGTAGGTATAGTGACATGAATGTTGACATGAGGTTAATTTGCAACACAGACAGCTTTTTAGATATAAATCATGTGAACATTACATGTATGATTTATTTATCTATGCAAAGCCGGTAAGTATGTACATAGTAATCATAAGCACTTGATGGCAGAAATTCTATAAACTTTAAAAATAGATATATCTACTGTGTATGTAAATAACTACTTTAGATACTCAGCAGCTATATCTATTTTATTTTAAAAAAAGACATTTTGTCGAAATATTTTTATTGATTTGATAAGTGTGTGTGTTATATAAACATCACGGCTGGTAAGCGGTCACAACGAGTAGCCGACCAAAAGCACTTGTTTCCATTAAGTGCCTATGAACGAAAGAAATGAAGTTTAATTGATATTTATTATCAATTACATTTTGAATTGAAAGTTTTTTAAGTGTATTAACCTAAAGATTTGCTGCCTGTATTATACAAAGTAACAGATTGAATTTAAAAAAGAGAGAAAACAGAATGGGTACATGAAAGTAAAATAAGTGTATATTTTCTTAAAAACGATTAACGCATGTAAGAAATAATTGATAAAAAGTTAACATTCTGCTTATAATTGCAGAATAATATTTTGTTTTTGAGCGAGCATTTCATTTGGTTTTCATACAAAATTTGTGTGTGTTAAATAATAGAAACATTCTATGTTACAATTGTTTCTAGAATGGACCGTAAGATTACAGAAACAACATAATTATACGTTGATGTTTATAGACGTTATCTATATGTTTTATTAGATAAAGCTCTTTACAATTAAAATGTATATTAATTAAACTATCTTTTAATTCACAGGGCAGGAAATCCTTTCGTTGATTGTTACAATGTTCAGGGGATAGATCTGACGCTTTGGTAGCCGATTACGAAATATTCTAGATTGAAAAAAGAAAAAAAAAAGAATTTTGAGATAGAGAAGATCATAAATGACCCGCAAACGACACTGAAATCAATTTATTGTAAATAAACATTCAAAGCAATATGTATCTGTTGTTTTTAATACATATACCTCTCGGAGCAGATGAAGTTTCGCTTACAATTTTTCTTATCTTTGTACATACGTGAACAATTTATTCTCTTTGAAGCAATTTGTTCTGTTTGAAGTAAACTGTTGTTTACGTGATTGAAATTTATGCTTCCTATTGACACGGAAGCGAAACCTTCCTTAAACAAAATGATATTAATTGCACAGTGAACGTGGTACATTGACATGACCTCCTTAGAAGAAGAGAATCACTATCTCAAATAATCAAGAAATAAAGCAACAGGAAAAAGTTGTAATAAATCATTTAAATGAAACACTTTAAACTATAGATGAACGTTACGCGCAAACCCATACTTTACATCCTTTGTTAATAATTAGATTAGCTTGAACGAACCATAACACAACGTAAGAAACACTTCGACATTAACAAACATTCCAGTTTCACTTTTTGACATCTCTTTTCTACTGAAGCATTGGTTTGAGATTGAGAACAAAGGTTTTACGTTTGCAATACTATATAATACGTTGGCTGATGTATATGATAAATACCAGTTTAAATTCATTTTTCGATATTCAATGAAAAAAAATATCTTCGCACATATTGCTTCCAAAATGTCACACACTTACAGCTATCTGATTTTTCAAATTTATTTGATGGTGTAACATGTATAACAGTTGGCGAATAAACAAATATTTGAGACAAGTTCTAAAAGAATCAATCGTCGCATTTCTATTTTAATTGAGAGCGTAAACTCTTCATACACCAATATCTAAGTTTAAAGATCTACTATGCTCATTTTTGAGTCAATATTTTACACACATACATTTATTGAAATCTTTACAATTCCTACTGGATACATCTTATGTGAATTAAACATAGAATAAACTATGTATGGGAAGATGCTTTCCCTATTATAGGTCAGGTAAAATTGGTCTTTTCTTAAATAACTGCCATTTTTTTTTGTTGTAAATTTTTTAATGACAATATATATTCATATTGTGACCATCTGTACTGTGTAAGATGATTTTAAGCATAACATATCTACTTTGTGTGAAGTCAAAAATGTTTATTTTATATTAACAAAGAGACTGTAGAAATTCTCAAATGTTTTTAATATCAAATTTGAGCATTGTATATCTTTAAAACTACCATTTACAACTTTTACTGACATAACTCAAAATAGATCTAATACTTTTGTGCAAGGCAAGCTATCTCCCTTGTTTATTAAAACGAATTATGGGGTTTCAGCGAAAAGAATTCACTTCCTTGATATCCTTAAGAAATGTTTTTTTCTAAAACAAAATCAACGTATATGTCTTAAATGTCAATAGATTGTTTAACGCTCTTGTTTAAAAAAAAACAACAAAAAAACAACAAACAACAACCACCATACTTTTAACATACACTTTATTTGTATACACTGTAATTCCGATGTCCTTGTGGCATATAAATATATTGTGTTTATTATATACAATTAATATGTTGACTTGTTTATTGCATACACTTATTCTTTGATATCCTTGTAATTGTATTCAGCATTTTACATACTACTGTAATAGTATTGCTCTTATCGTACACAACTGTATTATTACAATTCGCTCATTGAATACAACTACATTTGTATAATGTGATTGCGCTAATGGTATACAACTGTAAGTGTAATATTTTATGGCATACACCTGTAATTGTGTTGTGCATATAGCAAACAAATTGCGTTGTGCTCGAAGCTTTCACCTGTAATTGTGTACAAATTACATTACGTTGTGCTTACTGAATCACCTGTAGTGTTTTGAGGTAATGGCATTCAATTGTAATTATGTTGTTGCTTATGGTATGAGTCTTTGTTTTAAGTTAAGGTATGCACTTGTAAATAATCGCCGAAACACATTCAACAACAACGAAGTGTACAAGTAACGAATACGCCTAGGTTATCGAGGATGCTGTAAATGTGTAAGTTGTACTTATGGCTTACAACTTTTATTGCTGTATCCGTATTGCATTACAAATAATTGTTTCGGAATTATGGTATAAAACTGTAACTACGTTGTGCTTTATATGTCGTGTGCCTGTAATTGTTTAATGCGTAAAGTTAGGGCATTAAAAATAAATGCGTTGTGAATGGCTTTCAATGGCAATTGTAAACGCAGTTGGCATCGCCTGTAATTGTTTCAAGACTATGGCATACGTCTAAAATAGAATTAAGTATATGGAAAATACCTGTAACTAAATTATTTTAAATTTTCATATTCTCTTTAAATTCAAAACAGTAATTTTTGCATCGAGTACATGGGTCGCCTAATGGGCAATAATGTGTAAATGTTAATAAAAACATATACGAGTTGTACATTTACATATGTAAATAATTTTTCTCATTTTTCCCTGTTTTTCAGAAAATGTTTAATGATAACAATGACAAATTAAAACTGACCAATCAATAGGACTGATAATAATGTTTTTGCCTAGTTTGCTAGATGTCAGATGTGTGTTAGCATTTCTGAAATGATTCTTATAGGCAACAGAAAACTTATGATGAATTATTTGATATAAAATGAACATTGCATTATGTAATGATGTCCCACTGTGGTTTAAATTTCATTGTCAATTTCACTGATATATTTTATTTTGGACAGATCTTCATTCGGGAGCATTTGGTGCTTTCGGAGTTTTGGCTTGATGGCTCCCTTGATCCTCTGTAAATAAGAAATAAATCATAATGATATAAAAAAAATGTAACAATAAATTCGATTAAAATGTTTATGATTATTTCTAATTATATATTTATGACAGCTTAAACCTATGTATGTTAATTGCTTTAAGTATATTAGCTATTGACCTGCTGGAACCGAATGTCATTTGCCATGGCAACCAGTATGGAGCCCGAACTGCCTGCAAATATTTGTAATCTAACAAGGCTCTATACATGAAGTATTAATAATCAGTTCACTTTGTTTCGATAATGAAATCTTTTAAACTTCCAATGGCCTGATCCATATTCAAAGCTTGACTTGGCAATTGCATAACATAAATTAATAACGTTAAGGGTAAAAGATGTCTAGGATAAACGTATTGGCATACAATGTAATGATTAAAATAAGTTTCAACAAAAGTGGTCTCTCTTATGTGTAGAAAGACACTGCAGGATGACAATTCATGAGTAAAGAAGCATACACCCTTGGATGACAATGCATAAATAAAGAAGTATACCTCTACTAATGACCCTTCTTCTTCATATATTCTGTAAGCGGCAACGATTGGAATCCAAATAATTGACGCCACTGCCATTACCCAGCCTATCCCTATCGCCCACTGTGGATAGTGGTATTCTACCGACTTGCGGTCGTAGGTAAGCTCGGAATATGATATTACACCAACAGTGAACAGAAACTTAAAAACAAAATAATAAAATAAAGATTGACTTAAACCATTTAGTTTAAAAAAGTTGTTTTAGTATTTCAATGTAGGTGATAAACTCAAATTGAAAAGAAAACTATATTCAATCAACAGTATATCAATTTCGTCAAATAATCATTTATAAAACATGAACACTTTTCTTACTTGTGTAAGTTAAAATTAATCTTCGTTCCGCTATAGATCAGCTAATTCTAGAAACACCTGACACAGAGGAATCAAATCTGGGATATTCAGGCAAAATAATGACAAAAAATATTAAAATGATTTTATGTACTCAAATCACGCTAAAATGACATTTCTTAAAGTTCCGGCATGAATTTCTGTTTAAAGTCTATATATTTTTGGTTTGAAGGGTAAATATATCTATATATGTTTTACAAAATTTAGACGCCAATATAATACCGAATAGTTTAAAAACAAGTCATTTGACTTTTAAATTAACAAACCCTTGAAGTTACAACGACAGATATTGTGGATATTGTATGATTGAAACAAGTCTTAAGTCATTCATTTGACATGTTCTTTAACGTTTCCAGAGTTCACTGTGACAACTATTGTGAAATCCTAGCGTTCTAACCTGACTCACGAGGGTCAAGTTAGGAAACCACCAATTCATTTGTTATATGGAGAAAAGTTTTGTTCCTTTGACTGTCTAATGTATTGATTTTGGAGGCATTTACAGAAAAATGAATGAAAAATTCAAAACTAAGAAACCTTTGCCTGTGTCTCCCTTTAAATGGACTATAGAATATCCTTTAATTTAAATACTTAAATATCAAAAGTAAGAATATTGGAATCGAAATTCACTATTGACCGATAAAATGATATTTGCAATGTCAACCTGAAAGCTTGCTATTATTATTGGTAAATATATCATTCCGTGTGGGTGATAAATCTCGCCAAACTAGTTTTGGCATAGGTTTCAATTAATTAAAGGTAAGTGTTGCGTTTGTACTAAATGGCATATTTCCCGATTCAAGTATCATTTTTACTCTAAAATCATAGTTTTTCCCCGCAATAATGACTATAAAATTGAATTTCTTATGTTTGTGTAGCGTACGCGTTGAACGTCTGACGGAATTTTGTACGTGCGTCTTTTCCCCGCACTTCAATGAAAGCAGCCGCAAATTGCTATTGTTTTAAGGCATAAAATAAACATAAAGAACATATGTTTGTTTATCGTGAATATGCTACATATCATGCATCGTTTAATGAAAATATTGCAATTGCCCCACGTCTCATTGTGATATATATCATATTCACTCAAATACAAACAAATGTCCTTCATCTGTTTTAAGATCACGAGCATATCATGCACAATTTGAGTGGACACACTTACAAAAGAGAAACGTCAACAAAATGCAAATTTGACATTTTATTTTAGGCACGGGTGACCTATACATAATAAAAGCGACAAATTTGAAACACTGTATGAATTTATTTTCGACAATACTTCTGATAAATGGCATTAAATGGAGATTTTTTAACTTATTTTCTTATTTCCTTGTTTCCTGGTTGTCAGAAATTTGAATTGCAAACATATCTTTCGCTGCTTTTCATGTTGAAAAAAAATGTTATAACATTAGAATGGATTGAAAATGATATGGGGCATCAGACTGACATGGCAAAAATCATTCCTTTACCACAGATGTTCACATAACATAGCCGTGAAGGAAGTATTAGCATGCAATTATTTAATATTCAACCTTTAAATAGCAGTGAAAGTATTTAAATATATATCAACAGTTATACAATTAAGATTTAAAAATATTCAAAAATTGTCTTTATTCTGGACAAGGTATTAAATCATTTGTATAGTTTTTTATGATGCAAAGACTGTTTGGGTTTGTAAATTTATTTTTAAGCCTAGTGGTAAATAACTAAACCTTTTCCTCCTCTACTACGTCACTCTTTAAAATAAAATGAGCCGCGTCACGACAAAACCAACAAAGTGCGTTTGCTACCAGCATGGATCCAGACCAGCCTGCGCATCCCCGCAGTCTGATCAGGATCCATGCTGTTCGCTTACAAACCCTATAACACGTAGAGAAACTGATAGCGAACAGCATGGATCCTGATCAGACTGCTCAGGCTGGTCTGGATCCATGCTGGCCGCAAACCCACTATGTTGGATTTGTCATGACGCGGCTTAAATGATCAAACACCGTTACGGTATAGCAAGCAAAGAACTGCAATATTGAAAATGTTTAAGACTCGGTTATACTGAGCCAGTTCAAGGACGGTAATGTTTCATTTCATTTCATCCGCAAATGTTTCATTTGACGGTTATCATAGAACCTTCAATATAATGTAACACGTTCGTGAAATTTTCTTTGCTGTTTCTAAAGATTGTTTACATAAAATATCTCAACAGTCATATACATGCAAATGTGTCAGTAATTCTTTTTACCTAATCACATTTTCTTTTATCCGGGGTTTCAATTCTAACGAATCTCTGACAACCATTTTATATAAGTGTAGAAAATACATACCAATATGAACAATGGTGTCACAATGGACCATAGAACTTTAATAGCTGGCAGGACAGGCCGTCCGAACATCATAGTCAAATTTTCATAAAACCTGTTTATACCTGAAACAAAGCTTATGTATTAATATACAAACAAATGATGGTTGAATTGAGTCTTTTGTTTATTTTTAAAAAATCGTGTACAGGGCTTTATGCAGAAAATGTTTTCAGGAAAAAAAACATATGGTAACATTTAAAAAGATTTACAGTTCAAACTTGTAAACCCGGCATGTGTACAATGCATACTCTTTATTATTTATATGTTTAATTAAATTATAATTAAGATGTGAATAATTGAAAGTAAATGCATACATTACACACTAAGGTAAAGTAAAAATGATTTCTTTTTCTCTTTATAAGATTGTCATACCATATACGTAAGAAATAACGATCATTTCCACGAAGGCGATGACGAAGATCGTCCGGCTCACGGAGTAGTAGTCGAACAATTGGAACACGTATATACCTCCCTGGTACGGAAAGACAAGAGCGACATGTTAAGACAAACAGTTACACAGAGGTTTAACATCTACTGAAACAATTTCACATTTCTGCACAGTTTAGATTTCAAGCAAATGTTCATCAACAATGAATAACTGTCATGAGTCACATAGAAAACAAAAACAAAAAATAACTTTAGAATAAAACTGTTGTAGAAAAAAAGTTTCGTTTGCATTACAATGGTATCATTTCTAAAATATGACAATTTAATAATTAAATACCGAATTCAAGTATTCCATGTTTTATTTAATTTGAATTTTGATAACATATTAATTGTTTTAACTGCATAAACTCGTCTAGTTTCCTGGTGTGAAAACTACCGAATTTATTATGCAGAAAAAACAAAATACGCATAATGTCTAATTTGTAAATACGATTAAATAATAAATTTGCAAAATGCATCTATTGTATCAAATTTTGATCATAGTGAAAAGGAAAGGAAATTAGATTACATTAAATGAAAATCTTGAGTTGCATTTTTATACTATATTATTGTTGAAAAGTTTAGAATTGACAAGGTTCCATCTTGCAGCCTAATGTTTTATTAAGGTCATAATTACCTGACAAACCATGGAAAGTCCCACCAAGAACGACACAACACATATTATTGCAATAAGTATTTCTCTCCTGTAACCTTTCCGGAATACATTTGGATACAAATCAACCAAAAATGTTACAAAACCCTCCACGCCCACAAACTGAAATTGTTAAAAAAAGTGTTCATAACAACACTATTGACTTCTGAAATTAAAGGGAAAAAATGTACGCTCGAATAAAAGAATTCAAAACATATCAAGGCAAATAGTTTCTAATAGACAAAATGTTCGCAACAAAGTTTTTATAAAACCGTACCTGCACCCGCACCATAAGTATCTAATTACTGATAAACTTAATTTTAGTTTTAAGTCAACTATTTTTTCCTGAAAGCGATACGCAGATTCATGATTTTATATTAAACACTGCGTCATTCCAGTCTTTATTTCAAAAATTTTAATTTGTTTAAATATTAACAAGTAAATCAAGAGAAGGAGAGAACACACATCAAACATCGGGATGGTTTGTAACTGGTTTATTCTAGGATCTACCAGTTTCGGTGGTCGGTGTTGAAATATTGAGCAATAAAATATATATTGTGTTTTTTGCGATTTTTTAAAAAAAGGAAACAGACCTGGCTGTCAAGTCCAAGTAAAATTATCATGAGAAAGAAGACAGCAGACCATAGAGGTGCAGCCGGCATCTGGGAGACTGCCTCGGGGTATGCAATGAAAGCTAATCCTGGACCTGCAGAAACAATTGATAGTGTTCACATAAATTAGTATTTTATGATTGCATTTCGTTTTAAAATAAGTCTGTTTTTCTGTTTTCTAAAGTGATAATATTTTCTGCTAAATGTCTTTTTGTACTACATGTAAACAGATGCATATAAAAGTAATTCACAACTCCTAATTCTGCTGTATATTCTATACATATAAACTACGAATTAAGAAACTTATTTAACACTTCTTATCTTATAGCATCCGTTTTCTGAATTGTCTACATACTGAGGTATAAAGATCAATTGCTCAGTATAAATATAAACTGGTGGAAATTAATTTGCAAGAACCAAACCTGATTCCGCTACTTCGTCGATTGATACACCCTGTTTAAGAGCCATGAAACCAAGTACCGAGAAAATCACAAAGCCAGACATTAAGCTGGTGAAACTGTTCATTATAGAAAACATGAAACAGTCCCTGTAATATACAAAATATATTCCAATGTGTTTGTCATAGCAAAAAGGAATAATTTCATATTCACATATTATAATCAATATATATCGTCACTTTAGTGCAGTAACAGATTAGCTTCTATTAAATGATAAAAGAAGTTAACCCGTTACTGCACTTCGGTGACGATATATGGTATATTTCACTGACGTCTATGTCGTTAATGACTTGTTTCTGCATACAAATATGTTGAAAGTCGTTGTGCTGTGGCTCTCAACCACTTATCCGCTGTTATTTCAAATCCCGTCAAGGCTTTTGAAATCTATCATGTACGAACGTTATCTAGCTGTTTTATGGTTCTACTGAGATGTCGAGTGTGTTTAAATACTGCATATCATCTGAGAATCACATTAGGTCTGCCTCGAAAGCCAAGAGACATTTACAGTGTCTATTGACCTTAGAACAACACAAATAACAAATTGTGACCCTGTTGTGAAATTTGATTGTACATTTTGATTGATTGCATTCTAAAATCTATAGATAACATCATTACGTTATGAAATAAAACATAATTTTATATTAGGTATATTATAGCTCCAATAACATATAACCAAAAAATGATGTCATATAAACAATTGAAAAGTAGACTTTGGAAATAATGACATTGTAATGATTAACAATCATGATGAACATGTAGACAGAAATCCAACCAAATTTAAAGACCTACTATTCATGGTGATAATCTTAATTTTATTGCAATTATATTGCGAGCTACTTTTATGCCCAATTAGAAAGCATTACTAGAAATAGTCCCCCACAAACTGTCTTTAGAAGCATTTATTTAACCATTTATTAATTTCCCTTTACTTTTCTTTTTTGACAAACCACGCGCCAATATAAAAATTGAAAAAAATGACAAAGCCAATTGAAGGATTGTAAGAGAAAGGTGGACCCTCATCGTCAGATACTCACGGCCGAACTATAAACATTGATAACATGTTATGTTATATTAAATGTTAATCAACCGTTGGTATCCGACGATGGTGGACTCTTTAAGACAGCTATAGTTAGTCGCTATACTACCTCTTGTTAGCCTATAAATGGTTGTGTTCTTTCTAAAATAGTCTAAATAAAATATCAATAACACCTTAAAACATATTCTGAAATGATGTCTTTGAAAATAGATCAGAACCAAAGTATAGTGAAAGAAATGATTACCTGTAGGCATTGTGATTGAATTTATTGTAGCTTCCGAGAGCGACAAGGATTCCCGACGATAAAGAATACGAATAAAATACCTGATTGCCGGCATCGGCCCATACCTGTGAGAAGACAGGTTGTGTTAACATAAGGATCTAACACGGAAATTAAAAGTACAAAGTTCCTAAAAAAGATGACTTGCTTTAATGGCACCTCGTGTAAATATAACAGTTACTGAATTTTCATTATTTTAATTAAGATGGAGTAAAGAGCCCATTATAAGCATAATATTGGATGCGTCTTTTGCAGGTATAACGGGAACGGGAAACAAGAAAAGTTGTAAAATAGTCAGTGTAACAAATGAATATCAAAATATATTCATGCATTTCATGATAACTTATATGCAAATATAGTAATACTTTATAAAGAATTATATTGAGATATTATTAGTGCATATTTTACCTGGAACTTCAGGAGCTTAGAAAAATCTGGTACTAGGTAAAACTTGATGCCGTCCATGGCACCTTCCAGTGTTAGCCCACGGATCAACAAAATTATCATTAGTATGTAGGGACTTGTCACTGTGAAGTACATCACCTAGAATGTAAAAAAAATATAATAATTACTATTTTATTTCAAATTTCGTAAGCATCATTATTTAACTTATATGTTCAATCTTAAATTGATAGGAAAATCAAATTCGTTTTACTCCACCGGTGACACTCAATAGGGAGGGCATCGTATTTATAGTTCAGGGTTCACTGGCGTAATTGTTCCGTACAAATTGATCTTGGCGATTGTATTGGGTCTAATGATCACCTGACTCTTACCGCTGATTCACAAATCATGAGAGATTAGAAGTCGGTCACTTGCGGCAAAAAATCCTTGTTAATTGTTAATTGTCCAGGAATGCCTGTTAGTTGAACATTGGTTATTACTTGTTAGTTATACAAGAATGCATATTAGATATACTAGTCGCCAAGATATGCCGACAAATATATTAAAATCGGCGAATCAACCTGATAAATAAAGCATTGCAAAATTTAGGTCAATCAATATTATAACTGTTTGAAGTATAAGAAAGTGAGCTGCAGCTTTAAATCTGTTTTATATATAAAGTTAAGGCAATTTCAAGCGAATAAGCAACTTCTGTGGCTAATTCAAAATAAATTCGGAAACAGAGTCAATTATTACCTTTCCAGAACCTTTTATCCCCTTCCAAATGCAGAAATACACGACGATCCAAGCTAATAAAAGACAAAGACAAAGATCCCATTTAATGTAACCTGGCTGGTGAACTCCATCTGATATAGCCAACACCTTCCTCCTGCAAAAGAATACATGTTAAAGTTGTAAATATCTTTCCGAAATAGAGAATTGTCGTGCACAGATTTTATCAATATAAACGATAAAAGAGTTTTAAATGACATTTCTATAAAATAATAAAAGAAAAACAAAGCTCTCTGAATTCTAACTTTAGTTATTATAAGATTGGACGAATCGTGCCTATCTGATTTAAGATATATTTATTTCTTCATGTCATATTTTGTATTGTTTTGACGTTTTCTCTTTCTCTTGATGTTCTGACATCATCTCTTTTTGTTGTTGTTTTTGCCGATTTTTCTTTTTGCAATTGTTGTTGATTATTGGTGTCAAATTTGTAGTGCGTTTATGTCTCGTTCTTTTGTAGTTTCTTTTGACTTTAATATGTTTTTTTCCGCATTGTTTGCATTATTGTTGAAGATTCTGTAATGTTGATATTGTCTTGTGTTTTAATTGCGTTGTTTGTGTGTGGAGGTTGGGTGGGGTAAGTATTTAACAACTGATTTAAGATATTGATATACGTACTCCCAAAACTCTGTAACTGGATCAGACACATATGACAAGTTTCTTCTTCCTGACAGAATGTCTGAAGTGTCATTGTATGACACAGCTGTTCTCAAACTTGTCACGTTTGTATCATACGTGAAAATTTCCGTACCAGACGAGTTGAGTTTTTCCGACGAATTCGCACCTGTAACGAACCCCGCTGTGCAGTCAGGTGTGTTCCAATCATTATCGCAGTGTGACCACGGCAACTGCGTTGTCAATGAAGCAAAGAAGTAGTAGAAAGCCCAGGAAAGTAGGACGTTGTAATCACAGTTCACAAGGAACACAATCACCGCTGCAGCGACTCCAATACCTATATTTAAAGCAATACTTTAATCATTAAAAAAGGATTAAAAGTACAAATATTTACTAATTTTCATAAAAGCAAATGTGATACTTGTTACGTGGTTATAGTTGACAGTTGCGAATTATCATAATCTTGTTTATACTTAATCAAACACTTGGTCAAATGCAACAAAAATATATCGTTTCACCCTTAATGCTTAAAATAATTAATACTAAATATAAAATATATAGCGAACAATTGACAACATTTCGTATAATCCAATGCATGAGTGTGTGTTCGTATTGATATTGTTGGTTTTTGTTGCTTTCTTGATACAATAAAAAGATGGCGTTTGTAGATTCATATAATAACAACTACTCTTGATACATGTAGTTATTTGGACATACATTACCATTATGCCTAATGTATAAAAGTGACACATGACAAACTAAATTACTTATAATGGTAAATTAAGCTACATGTATGTTCGTTTGCGAGACCTTCTGCAAATTAATATTAATTGTCAAGTTCTTACTTGTAACCTGAAAGATACACTGTGGTATTTTTATACCTTTACGTTAGTTTGTTTGGTGAACATAAATCGAAAATCCCTTTCAATTTCAATCTTTTTCTTGCTCGTAAATGGATTAGCAAGAAATCATCATGCTATTGTTAGAATTTTGTTTTTATTAAACTTGTTGCATTTAATTACAAATTCACTTTTGTTCATAGAAACCTCAACTATTATAGATTAATAATGTTTGTCCTGGTTTTGTTTATTATAATTATTATTATCATTATTATTATGAACATTCGCATATTGTAACACATGCTTTTCGTCATATCTCGGCGGTGGATCCACCTAACAAATTATCCTGGAGACCGAGTCAATAATTACAAATTTCTCTGCAATGGGACCGACTATTTATCACACATGATTGCTCTCGAGCGGTTAGAAACAAGTGACCATAGCACTCAATTTCGAAGCTCGTTTCTCACAGAGAAAGTTCGCATCTTTCTACTGTCGAAACAAGCTCCTTTCCTGGACACCGTATCCATAGCTCTCCTTGTTGAGCTAAGCGGGCGGATAAGGTTGATAATAAAATGCAATGATCCAATTACGAAAAAGTAAGATGTTGAGTACAATGCGACTTCTAACAAGTATCTTAATCGTAAAAAATAAGCATTTCTAAAAGAATGCTTATTTATTTAAATGATTCTAAATGTGAATATGCATTAAAAATATCCATTCAATATGAAAATAAAGGATTTAATGTAAAATCTGATCATGAATGCCTTGAGCATTTTGAGGATATAATTACGATGGCATAATTGAGCCTTGTCACGACAAAACCAACATAATGGGTTTACGACCAGCATAAATCCAGACCAGCTTGCGCATCCGCGCAGTCTGATCAGGATCCATGCTGTTCGCTATCAGTTTCTCTTCTTCTAATAGGGTTTGTAAGCGAACAGCATGGATGCTGATCAGACTGCGCATATCCATGTTTGTCGCAAACCCATTATGTTTGTTTTTGTCGTGACACGACTCAATTATACTGCCAACATTTTAAGATAGGTAAATTGGAGATCCTCGACAGAATTGAAAAGAATTTAAAATTCTGATATAAGGAGGATATTTTTTTGTGTGTGAGTGAAATATGGAATATATTTTCAGGAAACATGATGAAATCCCACATATATTGCATTTTACAATTCTGAGTAAGAATGTATACCATATTTCATGAAAAACGAGAAAATAACCTTTTTATTTAATTTCATTTTCAAAGAAAAATGGTTACGAATCCTTTGCTTGCTACTTGTTACGTAATTGCAATTGTACAGCGCGCAATAATAAAATGATAATTTATAGATGCGTTACGCAGTTTAATACACATAAATATAGTGTGTGTTTATTTTAATATATTTTATAATTTTGAACCGAAATACAGAGTATTAATTGAATGTAAAATAAATGTGAAATGAAAGACATTGAAATAGTTGTCTTCTTTTCAGTGTTTGTGCACGCACTGTTTGGCGCTACATTATGGCGTCAAGTAAACAGCTCTTTTAATGTCTGTACAGCGTTAATGACTGAATTAATGATATTGGTGATTTATTTTCTTAGTTACACCATTTTCTATCATCCTAGATAGTTTTCAAAACAAAATTCAACAAAGTTGTATTTTATTTATCAGATTTTTCAACAAAATGGCGAAAGAAATCCCTTAAAAGTAAATAAAAAAGTATTGACTCCGCCCACTTTAATATTAATATTTTATATTTGTATGCACCCGAATGGAGGCATATCAATGTCGCACCGTCCGTTTGTCTGTCTGTCTGTTTGTGCGTTCCTACTTCATTTGTGTCCAGACTATAAATTTGTCATACATTGAGGGGTTTTAAAATAGTTTGGCACAAATATCTACCACATCAAGACGATGCGTCGCGTCTGAGAACCATGTCCCTACCTCAAAGTTCAAGGTCTCACTTACATTTCGAAGTTTCACATTACCACAAACAGAGTTTATAAGTACGCACATTCGTGTCAGGACTGTAACTTTGGCATGCATCAAAGGATTTCAAAATAACTGTGTTTAAATGTCTACCACATCAAGACGATGTGTCGCGTCCAAGAATCACGTCCCTACCTCAAAAGTCAAGGTCATACTACCATTTTGAAGTTCACCTTATCACAATTAGAGTAAACAGGTACACACAATCGTGTCCGGGCTGTAATCAAAGGATTTTGATATAATTTGGCAAAAATGTCTACCACATCAAGACCATGTGTGGCGTCTAAGAATCACGTCAAAGGTGAAAATCACACTAGCATTTTGAAGTTTTACTTTTTCACAGTAAGAGTTTATAGGTAACACATTTATCATGCATTGAAGAATTTTAAAATAACTATGCATACATGTTAAGCACATTACTTAAGACGACATGTTGCGTTTAAGACCACTTTCCCTACCCACACTTATAGTTTGAAGATACTCTTACTCTCAAGAAGAGTTGAAGATACACAATCATGTCCAGACTATAACTTTGTCCTGCATTGAGAGATTTTGAAATATTTATGCACAAATGAATATCACATGACAATGTTGCTTTGCGTCCAAGAACCACATACCTTTTCAAAGGTCAAAAAAATAAATAAAAGGTTTAATTTGGTCCTCGTAATAAAACCAAAAACATCTTTCAAGGCTCATAGGCACCGGCAACTATCCCCAATACGCAAAAGTATTACAATCATTGATCTTAAAGGAAAGAAAAATATGTTACCTTGAAAGAGGGGGCAAATCTTCCAAGCATTCATCCCACCTTCAGACATAAACTGGCCGACAGACACCTCAAGGAAGAATGTAGGAATTCCACCGATGAAGACACACAAAAAATAAGGAAGCAAGAAGGCACCTGTGAAATATCGTATTTTATAATAAAGACATAAAAGGACGAGATAACATGACTAGTAAGACAATTAATTGTAACGTTTTAACATGTAGTGGTTTCAGTAATCTGAAAACAAAATCATGATTATACATGTATAAGCGACAATAAAATTATAAAACAAATCGTTATATTAACCAAAGTACAAAAGAGCAAGAGATAGTAAAACATTACGTTTAAACACCTGAAAAACAATAATGGATGTTACAATCCGCCTGAAAAATAGATATAAATATTCATGTTTATTTTATACTGACCAACAAAAGAATAAAGAAAGGGTAGAGTTCCAGAATGCCTGCAAAGAATACATGAATTTCATCAATTAGATGAGCTGAAAAGATAAATATGCAGAAATAAAAACCTGCAATGAAACATTTTATTTACGTGTATAAATACATAAACTCACCTGCAAGGAGATATAAAATTTGAAGCATTCAATCACCTGTAGATATATAAATATTGAATCACCAACGAACCTGGAAATAAAATACCATTTTAAAATGTATCAAAAAGGCTTATGAAGAGCAAACAAATCAATTTCAAACAAAGTCGTCGCATATATTAAGCATGGTAGACTAGCATATTAACACCTCAGCATATTTGTTTGTAGGTTTTGCTATGTAATATATAAGCATAATACATGTAAGCATTATTGCATATGCAACAAAATACACATATTTTACGTAAAGAAAGAAATAAAGGTTAAAAAGAATACTATGTTTCGCCACTGTCTAAATTGATATGATTTTCAACACTAACAAACCAATAACGTATATTTCATAACAGTTATTTCTGTTTTGTGATTAACAAACTAGTAACAGACAGGATTAGATTGAAAAATTGCCAGAGGTTTAAAACATATTCAAAAGCATTGATGTCAAAAAACCGCAGAACTGGTATTATGCTGTGATAATGAAATAATTATTGTAACATCAATATGCAAAATGATATATTTTGGAAACAGCTAACAATATTATATGCTTCAGACAGAAATTATTTGGAAGCATCAAAACATATGCGTAAAAAGATGATAAAAATAGCAGAAACTCAGGTGCTAAGACATAAATAAAGTGACATCAACGAACCTGCAAAAAAAACTAATACAAGGGAGAATGTATCAAAAAAAGTATAACAAACTAGAGGTAAGATATGGGAAAACACATAAAATGACAGCATGTGAGAGTAAATCGTCATCATGTACCTAGCATACATATTTGTTATGAACATTCTATAATGTGTTTGTCACATTTTTTTGTAGAAAAATATAATACCATGAGGGCAATATGCAAGGATCTAACACTTAATATTAATTTGTAGTGGCAGAAAGTACCACATACGGAATTCCCTGATTGTGGAAACAGAATCCACAAATTTCATAACCGTCATATGCTCTGGAGAGGAGGTCCTCTCTCTCATCAATTGTGACAGAATAGATTGCCATTTTCTCTGTGTTTTGTTCACAAAATTGTTTATATTTGAGTCCTATTTTATCCCTTGAAGTTCAGATGCACTATTAAAACCAAACATTATTACATCAAAATAGTTATTCAATTAGTAATTCAATTATATAAAAACAGAATAACACAGGTATGTGGATATATTCTGATTTCTCATAAGATATTTTAAGAAGCAGACGTTGACTTTATCAGCCTTATCATGCCAAAGCATTCTCTGATATTACCAGGACTGTCTAAAATGCGATGATGCAAGAGTCAAATGAGAATAAACATAACATTTATTTGAATGATTTGCAGTTAAACATTTGTTATTTGAAACCAATGCATTTGCTCTTTTTTTTAGATAATGCTTTTATAATGAAGAGACGTTTGTAGAAATTATTAATAAAACTCCATATACAGACTACGTGTTATTGTTGACATATTACTTTGTATCGTCTTAAACACATATTATCCGGTTTTCATTTCATTTCTTATAGGTAATGTATATAAATTTTAACTTTTACATATTAAATGTTTCTCTTAATTGCCTATCCTTTTGAGGCTTTGTTTCAAATATATGAACAAATTATGCTCCTACCTCCTCCATTTCTGTAGCAAAGGAAAGGAAACTTCCATACATTTCCAAGGCCGATAGAAAAACCACAACAGGCGAAAAGAAAATCAATTTTTCTCGCCCATGTTTCTCTTTTCTGAAGTTTGTTGTTTTCCTCTTCTTCCACGGACGAGTCCGAATTCGCTACAAACGTGTGCATTTCATTTTCCTCTTCCGCTGCTACTAAAACAAATAAATTGATAAACAAAGTAAGATAGATTCTCGACGTAATTAAATGAATTTTAGGTTAGGATATGGGTTAAATGGTGTCAAAGGGAACAGAAATAATAATGTTGCAGACTAGGTGGTATTTGATCAATAGGGTACAAATGAAATATACACTGCACATAAAACACGAGCGATATGAAGTCAATATAGTCTGAGTTAAGATAATATGTGTTAATATGGTTGAATTTCCAATTTAGCATGGTAATTAATTATCATAAAAAGGATACTATGTCGTATGCAACTTTGTGGTGTCATATATATTATTAATTATTAAGATTTTAGACAATATATAGCATAGTAAAAACGGACTTAAGCATATTTGGCCCGAGTCATTGAGTTATATTTCTACCAATCTCTGATAACCCTTTTTTACAAAATAATAATATTTCGTTTATTTATTGCGCTGAACAAAATAAAAATCAATTTAATTGATTCAGCAGCCGTGTTTATAACAAATAAAAACATACCGATTGACTAGTTAAAATAAGGATACAAATTTGTAGTTTTATAATTCAAAATATTTACAAAAAATTGCATTTCAAAATGGCAATGATAAATTAATGGCATCAGGCAATGTTGTTGAACATTTTAATTTCCAACAAAAGTCTTCGGCGTTTTTACATGTGTATTTTTCTAATAGAGGAAAAAAACAAATGTAGAAATAAGTGATTATTAAGGGAAACGTAACATCAATTTATACTTAAAGTAAATATATTAACATTTTTAATTTTCATTTATGCATGCAATCGGTGTCCATGCAGTCAGGGGATAATTCCTCCGAGCTTCTAATTAAGATAGTCCTTGTTTTTCATTTTTACATGTAAATTTTTCATAAAGTAAAAACAAATGTAGCTGTAAGCGATTATTAAGGGTACCCTAACGCCATATGATGTACTAAAAGTATTTAACACTTTGTTTTCGACCGGCGTTCATAAAGTCAGAAGATAATTCTTTTAGCTTTTAAATTTGACCTTCTTTTAAACAACAACAACAGAAAACAACAACAAAATAACTAGGTGTGTCATGATGTAAATGATGTTTTTGATGTACTTTATGGTAATTTTTAATCAGCGATAAAGCGATATTAAAGCGATACCAATATATTATCATATATATTCGCATATCATATTATTATCATGAATGTCCATCTTCAAATTTTGAATAAAATTGTATTTTTTTTAGAATTAGACGGTTGTTTCTCTTGCAATGTTCTTAATAAATGGTACTTTTAAGCTATACAATTATTTTTTATGAATCAGGAAAATGTTTGTGAAATCTATGTGATGACAATCCCTTCTAAACTTTAATCCATGAAATCAATTGCTTTATTCAAAGTACTTCAAGTTCTGAAATAAACTGAATAAGATAACACAAGTGTTATTTAATATATACACACAGTATACCATTTCAAATTTCCGTTCGTTGCAACTAGATATAAAATTTGAATTAAAATTATAATTAAATTAATATTTTTGCGTAATTTCATATGCAATTTTCTTTTTAGTTTATCATCTAATATTCATTGTTTTGCTTTTCATAATAATAAATGCTTTCAGAAATTGTTTTAACTTACATTTTCCGTTTCCTATATCCATCGTTTCTATTATACCTGTCCCTGCGAACAATAAACAGTGTTAACTATTAACACAAGTAATAGATGAAACAATTACTCTGGCCTGTCGAGTCCTAGTCAAGTCCTAGTCAAATCCAGATGTTTGTGTGCCTCTCCGAAGATAAACGTCAGCTTTATATAAATATTGTTTTTTTGTAGTCTAGTTTAATTGCCTTTATAATTCATGTGTCCAACTTTACAGCCGACCGTCTGACATTAACCATGCAACACTAAAGTATCATAGCTATTTTCATTATATATTCATATTTACTAACCGGTTGACATTTTACACCAGATGTGCGTTTAATTATATTCATTTGGTAGCCAAATTATGTTTTTGAACACTTGAACTTTTAAAGTATTAACAACTGTAATTTAAAACGTTACCAAGAGAAATCATTTAAGATGATTTAAATTCTTTAAAGACAATCATCGTCTTAGCAGTTCGTCTTTTATTAAATTTATACAAAAATATGTATTGTACATTAATTTAAGGCATATTTAAACAATTCGTAACACGTTTTCTGTTTGCATTTAATATAAAAATTTCCACCCTGTAGATACCAGTAACTACTGATTGCAAATACGTGTTCAATATATTCATACAGCAAAAACAGAATCCATCTAGAGCACTAATGTCATAGCTACACATCTGGAAGCAATTATTCGTGTCTCTAAAATATATACATAGTAATTGTTACTAATAAAAGAAATAGATTACAGAATAAGAAGGAGGGTTGTGTCAAGGGTTCATCTCATTACCTAACTGGTCTTATTATATTATAATATTATATTGTCATCTCATTGAATACAATGATTATCTTTTTTTCACCTTTCTTTTTGTTATTTCATAAAAATAACCAAACATTGCTCTTTCCGTCAGAATAAAGTGCATTTGTAATTTATTTTATCAAAGAAACAGAATTACCTTTTTACTTTAAATAAATTATTAAATATTATTGAATGGTTCGACACATGTAATATTGCCATTTCTGATTCCAATACGTTTAGTTTTTCCTATTGAGTCATGTACAGTCTCAATAAAAACTAAGTCTGTTTTTTTTTTTACCTTTTTGTACGTATTGTTGTTATTGCCTTCGAGAGATTCTCCCATTTTTTTCTGAGATGTCGGTGAACTATTGTGAATGTCTCTCATTTGTTAAATGTTAGTGACTCGCAACACATTGCCAAAAGAAAGTATGCGCTAATAATGATAACACATCTGTTGATGATCGTTCGCTTTCATTCATAAGAGCAAAATCGTGAAGTGAAAACAAGTGTAAATGCTATAATCTTGAGAAAATGTTTAAGCAGGCAACGAAACCTTTTTTATTACAAAAAAATGATAGAAATATATAAATCATAATTACCTCGTCAGAGTTTACATGACGGGCATATAACCGTCATATTAGCATATTAAAATACACAGACAAATTAATAACGTTAATGAAAAAAAATGTACAAACAGGTAGTTACTTTGCCATCATTTATCACTCGTATAATGTTTTGACATGCTTTTATTTATGGCGTGGAAAAATATTCACTGACGTGAGACTTTAAAAGTTACCATGCTAGTGTTACTTACATTTATATGTTTACTTTTTATGAATATGGAAAGCTACTAGAAAAACAAACACTTAGAATGACATTAAGAAAATGAACTTCGTAAGAATAGAATGAAAAAATATTATTCTAATCAATGAAAATCATAACATGCAAAAAGTATAACTTATTTTTTATCAATGTGTGTGCTATGTTTGGTAATTTTGAAATAATTACATATTGACAATAGCTTTCTAAATCAAAATTCGGATGCAAATTAAAAACTATGTTTCAGAAATTAAGCAGGATTGAGCTATTCCGGTTCTATATACAGTGTACCAATTAGAGCGTTCAGTCGTGCCATTATAAAAAGGATGTGTAAAAAGGCAATTACGCAACGCTTTGCCATTGTTTATTATAAATGATATCGGTCAAAGACAATCTTTGTCATATGAATTATACATTTACATGTACACATAATGTAGCTAATGGCTAACTTCAAGCAGTCAGCCAATTAACCCATTTGTATACATTAACTCAGGTGATTTATTAAATGCGTTTTCATCTTGTCAAATACACATTAATTAATACTTCATGAAAATATGCAGTCAAAATAAATGTCAAAATGTCTTTTTTTAAAGAAGTATGTAAGTTACTATTTTTCATTTTACTTTTAACCTGTAAGTTATTACACTCTCCTTCCAATAAGTTGAATAACAAAAGTAAAGAAGTTTTTCTTTTCTTTTCCGCCTCCAATTATAAATGTTTTGAGGCCACGCGAAAAAAAAGAGTCAAACAATTTGTGTATGATCTAATGTGTCAGTCAAGGGCACTTGATACAGTTTTTACATAAACATATATAACTTTTAAATTTGATTTTTTTTAAACAAATATATATGCTATAATGTAGACTTCATTATGCTTATATTTGAAAACTGTAGTAAATGTCTATAATGTATAACTTTACACAAAATCAGGTTGAAATATAAAATTCATCCTCATCTTCATCATCATCATCATCATCATCATCAGTATCATTATTCTAAATAAAAGTATTATCATCATTATTATTACTACATGTATAATCATCAAACTTATACTACACATAGTGATTCTTTGCATGTTACATGTATGATATAATAATAATAATAACACGTGTAATTAAATAATGTTTGTTTTCAATTAAACTCTCACCAAACGACTTGGGTACTCCAAATACGAGTACTCCAATCGTATATGCAAACAAACGGTTCTATTATTAGTTTTTAATATTTTTGACAGGTTATATGGCCTCATATAAACGGTTTTATGTAAATATAAACCGAGCCGCTAGGCGAGGTTTATATTGTAAACAACCGTTTATATACGGCCATATAACCTGTCAGAAATATTTATAACGAATTTATAATACAGCAGCATCATTTCAAATGGAATAAATCGAGATTTCATCATAAATCGACAGCAGCCGTGTATAAAAAAAACTATAAAAACGTCACGATTATCCAATGAAAATCGACGTTACGAACGTGCAGTATTATAAAAGCCCATATAACTTTTAAAAAACTTTATAACTAATAGTATAATTATTAAAGTTGTCTGTTACCAAGACTAAGAATGTTCAAGGACTATACAGATATAAATCCGGTTTTCACTTAGTTAATGGATTTTATATCTAAAATCAATTTTGATACTTCAAAGGTCTGGCAGTTCAATAAAAAAGAGTAAGTTTGAGGACCTCACTAAACACCGAATTCCGGTATAAACCGGACAAGGAGCTTGAATGATTAAATGCTAATAAAATCTCGCCTTTTCACCACCCAAAGAAATGAACTTCAAAACGTTTAATACATCTTTTCACACCGATTTAAATACGATAATGAATGAAAAATGTAGGAATCGGCGAAAAATGCGATATTTTTCTAATTTGTGACTATGATTTCTGCAAGCGTTTGTAGGAAATGCTCCAACACTGTGATGAGTTAAATTCAATAAAATAGGTGATTGATCTGAGCACTGTAAATTCTGTTACAAATATCTTGCAGAATGTATGAAAGTACGAAAGCATATTCATCTAGGTGTTACAGGTATATGTCGAGGTGATTTGAAACAAATGCTTGTTTTATCTGACTTGCAATGATAACAAAATCTCAAATATTTCACAGTCTAGCAAAATTGTGTTTTTTACGTGCATTTAGGCGCCAATCGCAGTCTTAAAAATCTATGAATAGAAAGAATGACGTCATTATGGTGATTTACATTTAACCGGTTACCTCCTCGGAAACCAGCTAAACTTGTCTTTATACAATTGTGTTATAAACAATTCTGACAATCATTTCAAGAAAGTATAAAAACTTAAAGACACTTTTATTCTAAAAAGAGAAGTAAAACAATATGTAATGTTTCATGAAAATAAAATTGGATTTAGAAAAATTTTAAAGGCCCATAATGCCATTAATACCTATGTTACTGTATACAGAAAAAATTCTAGGGTATTTTAAGGTCATTGTGACAAGATGAAGGTCATTACATTCTGCAATTTTTTCCACGGACGGGTGAATGAGTGCACGTGCAAAATGACGTTATCGACTCTTTGTACCATTCAATATGGCAGCTTAATAAAATGTAGTCACTTGCACACAAAATTGTAAGTTTAGATGACATAGTCTATCACAATCAACAAATTTTATTTTGTGATATCATGTTTTTTTCTAAGTTAAAAGGAGTGTTAAACAGATTGAAAGATATTTATTTACATTGGCAACAATCCGTTTCTTAGAAAGATAAGCGCCGTTGTGTCAACGCCGTACTTCCGGGATAGGTATTAAGATAGTAATTCTTGTTTGCTTAATCCGGTCCGTGATGCGGAGATTAAAAGACAATATTCTTTTTTTGTTGTTGTTGTTTCTTTTTTTTTCTTAGTGCTCGCAAATTTTTTTAAGTCAATCAACGACGAGGATTTTTCAAATTTTCAGGTTTCAAATTTTAATAGAACATTTTTTATATAAACTGGACGTTTTATATTATAAAACGCAAGTGGTCGGAGCACTAAGCCGGTAAGAGCGCATATTGCAAGTTCTTCGTAAATAAGAAAGCTACAGTTGCTTCGCAAGCTCCGCTCCTTTTTAGCTTTCTTATTTACGAAGAACACCCAATATGCACTCTAACCTATACTTAGTATTGAAACATTGATACAACAAAATAATCATACATTTTCCCACAGATTTTGTAGCCTTGATATATCGTTGTATTTATTACGTTTGAAGGCATTATGCTCACCAAGGTGTAAATGATAAGTGCATAGATACGAGTCAAATTATTTTACATTTTGCCATAATTGTGTTCAATTTTATATTTAACTACGCTGAAATTAAAATAATAAGGATGTTCATTTTGAATCACATAGAGCTTCTCTAATTATCAACATTTTCACATTTTCTTTTCAAGCAACATTTTATAGGAACATCCAAGTAATACATTTCCACTGTTTTATCAATGTTTGAAAAACTTATGGCAAATGTCACGCGGTACCCTCTTTGCGAAATCTATTCAAACGGTACCCTCTTTGCACATGCACAGGCCATTCTCTGCTACATGTAAAAACAAACCATCGATGGATAACAAGCCAGTAAAAATTCATTGAAATAAGGAAAGGAGGTATGACACGTGGAAAATATGTATACCACGGAACACTAGAATGTTTAGTTTATGTGCTGATTTGTCATGTGTCCGTTTTTCAAGTACCGCAATTTCACAATAAGCTACATAAAATCGACATGTCTTGTCTCGCCCATCACCTTGACATATTGTTTCGGGCTGAAATAAACCACTGGCTTGATTATATATGCATCATACATATTTCATATAATTATTAATATCACCTTCGGACAAAAAGCAG